GTCTCTGTCTGTCTCTGTCTGTCTGTCTCTGTCAGTCTCTGTCTCTCTGTCTCTGTCTCTCTGTCTCTGTCTCTGTCTCTCTCTCTGTCTCTCTGTCTCTGTCTCTCTCTCTCTCCTAGAAACTCTGTGCATGCAAACACTGGGAACAGGCTCCAGCTGTTCTTCTGCTCCACTGATGTCCAACTCCAAAGGCAGCTGCAAACTGTCAGATGGCCCTGGCACCACCTCTGCCTCTGACGCAGAGCCCTCCTATGAACCTTCCCCACCAGACTCCAGGACTGGCCCACGCTCCTCCCCAACTTCCTCACTTTCCAAATCTGCTACCAGCTCCTCTGGCTGCTGGCGGGCCACAACACTTACAGCATTAGGGCCATATATTCAGTTTCAGTGTCCATGACTGTCGTCCCAGTCTTTATGAACATTTCTGATTTAAACGGAACGACGGGCTATTTTTCAGATGCAAAGAAAGGAACACAATCCCATTGACTCCTTTTTTGTGTGTTAATTTCCGCAGGTTCGGCGTTCGCTTTCCAGCCATGTCGGATGCCTACAATGAAGACTTGAGAAAACTGGCTGTCAAGGTGGCCTCTGAGATTGGCTGTTCTGACTGCATGAGAGAGGGGGTATACTGTGCCCTGGGAGGCCCCAACTACGAGACCATCGCTGAATGCCGCTTCCTGCAGAGACTGGGTGCTGATGCCGTTGGTCAGTCAAAGACAGAGATCAGGGGGAAATGTTCCTCCTGGGGCATAAATAAAACCAAGTCTTCATTACCTGATTATTTTTTTAGGCAAAACTACATGTACAGTATTTTTCAGAGTATAAGACTCTGAACAATTACCGTATTTTTCAGAGTATAAGATGCACCTTTTTCCCTCAAAAAAGAGGGTGAAAATCTGGGTGCGTCTTATACACTTAATACAGGATTTTGGGTCTCCCAAAACCCTGCCCCCTTCATCAAAATGGCCATACACAGCCTTTAGGAGGCTTTCAGAGAGCTCCTGGGGGCTGGGGAGGGCAGAAATGAGTGAAAAATGGGCCGTTTTTTGCTCTATTCCCCCGCAGCCCACAGAAGTACTCTATAAGCCTCCTAAAGGCTATGCATGCAATTTTTTTTTTACAAAAATCGGGGCCATTTTCCCAATAAACGGAACATTTTTTGCTCATTTTTGGAGGCAGCCCACCCCCAAGGAGCACTCTGCAAGCCCCATAAAGGCTATTCATGCCTTTGGGGGGGAGGGAATGGGCCATTTTTGAGAGGTTTGCAGAGTGCAAAAATGTTTTTTAAAAAATTGCCTCTTCAAAACCTTGGTGCGTCTTATACTCTGAAAAATATGGTAACCAGTAGATCAACTTGCCACCAGAAGTTGTGAATGCTCCAATGCTGGTAGTTTTTAAAGAAGAAATTGGATAACCATTTGTCTGAAGTGGTATAGGACCGTGATGGCGAACCGGTGGCATGCAGAGCCCTCCCTGTGGGCATATGCACCATCGCCAGCTGCTCTGCGCACCAGACTAGCTGCGCACGTGATGGAATCCGGAAGAGCAGCTGGCCACCATGCGCATCGGCCAGCTGCTGTGTTCCAGTGCTCTGGTGCTTTAGGCACTTAGTGCCTAAAAGGTTAACAGTAACTGGTATAGGATTTCCTGCTTCATCAGGGGGTTGGACTAGAAGACCTCCAAGATCCCTTTCAACTCTTATTCTATTCTATTCTGTTCCATTCCGTTTTCGCACTCTGCAAACCTCCCCAAAATGGTCCATTTTTCACAAAAACAGGCCTGTTTCCCTCCCCGCAAAAAAAAGGGGGACATTAGGAAGCTTGTAGAGTGCTCCTGGCAGCTGGGGTGGCCAAATTGACCAACAAATTGCCCATTTTTTGCTCATTTCTGCCCTCCCCAGCCCCCTGGAGCTCTCCAAAGCCTCCTATAAGCTATGCAGGGCCATTTTGGTGGAGGGGGGGGGGTTTCAGGAGGCAAAAAATATTGTATTCAGTGTATAAGACGCACCCAGATTTTCAGCCTTTTTTTTTTTTGAGGGAAAAAGGTGCATCTTATACTCTGAAAAATACGGTAATTGTTCTAACTGTCAGGAAATCTCTCCTTAGTTCTAAGTTGCTTCTCTCGATTAATTTTTCCATGGAGAGAATTGTCATCCTCCAGTTTTGTGGAGTGTTAAGAGAGCTGTGCCCCCACTCTTCCTGATTCCCTGAAGCCATTCATCTAATGCGTTTCCTCTTTCCTTCCCCCTTTCAGGCATGAGCACGGTCCCTGAGGTCATTGTGGCCCGTCACTGCGGCCTCCGAGTTTTTGGCTTCTCCCTCATCACCAACAAGGCCATTTTGGACTATGACACCAAAGAGAAGGCCAACCATGAGGAAGTCTTGGCAGCCAGCCGCCAAAGCGCCCGCACCCTTGAAAAGCTGGTCTCCATGATGGTGCAACGCATCGAACCAAACAACAACCTAGTCTAGGGGCCCATCCAGCTCACGATCGCCCGCGTGACTTTGGGCAAGGAGAGAATATGCTTCTTATTAAATCCTGCTGCTAAGATTCCTACTCTGGGATGATGCGGACAATTTGGTCTGAGACTTTGCCGAGAGTGGAATTAATATCCTCCTTATCTTGCCTACTGTCCGCCTCTGACCAAGAAGCCCATTTTTTGTCTGCCTGTTTTTGCCCTTCGGTGCGTTGCTTCTGCATGTGGGTAGATCATGTCCCTTCCATGTCATCTGTTCTCTGTAAAACTCCTCCAGAAATTCCCGTTGGAGCAGGCCACGTAGTCACCTCACGTGGGCCTGTTTTACTTTTAAAATGGAGGATGTGTGAGGAATCTAGAAGTCCTTTGCTCATTCCAAAATGGCCGCTCTCTCCTCAGGAACCAAGCAAGAACTGGTTGCTTGTTTTTTTTTTTAAGGTTCCATTTTGTTTCTGGTTTGGGTTTAGTTTTCTGAATCCTACAATCATCGTTGGAGAAGAGTTCAAAGACCACCAAATCTTATCTGTTAGATGTTTGGGTCTTCTCCTGTGCTCGGGCATTTTGAACAGAAAGTCTTAACTGATATGCAATAACTTGTCTGGCTTGTCATGTTTTCAATACTTGAAAAGTTATCTGTGGCTTCTTCCTTTGGTCCTTGTTGAAGCTGCATATTAATGTCTTGGATTAACATTTAACCGCACTTGTTCTCCAAAGAAGCTACTGAATTGCTCAGAATTTGAAGCTATCATCTTCAGGCAATAAACCGGCGAGATCACGTACTCACAAAATGTAGATGATGGTTAATAAGTAAATGTCAGGATATCCTATGTCAAATTTAACCCACTAGAATGCACCTCCATAGCAACTAGAATAAAAAAACCCTCCTGCATATAAAAATTAAGTACATCCTGTGGGGGTTCGAACTCTGAGTTGCTAGAATCCTGTTTGGAGGGAACTGTTTGTTTTTCCTGTGTGGAAGGGCCTTCAGAGATGTCTAACCCCCTAAATTTGAATCTCTTGTAAGGATCTGTGGAGATTCTCAAATCATGCAGGCAATGGTTGTCCCAAAGGTGCTTTTTCAAAAGGCAACTGGACTTCCTTCTTCCTTGAAGGTGTTTCAGTTCAGAACTGAAGAAGCTTCTTGGATAAGAGGCATGAAAACATCTTCAAGGAAAATCAAAGTCCAGTGTCCTCTTGAAAAAGCATTTTTGGGGCTCTTGTAAGGCTAAGTCTCTAAGAAGTAGGGAAGGCCTACTCGGTTGTGTTTCATTGTCTTTTATTACCACAGTCACATGTTCTTGTTTAAGGGAAAGTAGGCATCCTTGTCTCTTAGATTCCTTTAGATTTCACATCTACCAGGTTCCCAATCAAGCGATAGGTGGGAGATTAAGAATGGATTTCTAGTTCCCCTCTAACAAGCAATATGGTTGGACTGTTGAGAACTTGCTGGTCCAGAGGGAGCTGGTCAATGCACAGTTTTTGCAAGATGGTCTTGAGAATCCCAAATTCATTAAGCGACCCAAAACATCAGGAGGAAACTTCATCCATAAATGGAGATTTATTTGCTACTTTCAAGTGCAGATAGGGGAGCCTATCTCCCCTCCTCTGTCATATCTGGGAACGGGGAATTCTCTAATTTGTTAATCATAACTTCTTAGCCTAATAATTCTGCCTGTCTTCAGGGGAAACAAGAGGCGGCAAATGATGGCATCATTTTGACATCATTGTTGCTTGTTTCAAACGATGGTGGTGCTGCTCACGGTTCTTGTTCGGAGCTCCCAGTGAATCACCTGATGCATCTTTGTGTGAAGGAGTATGTCTGCAGGTGTGGTGGGAATGTCTTTCTTCTTCTAATGTGGTCCTAGGATTCAGCAGCTTTTTCTGATTTAAGAAGAACGTTGTTTCTGTTGCAGTGGCCGATTACTTTCCTAGATGTGTTACCTTCTGAGAATGAATACAAACTCATTAGGGACAGAGATGTTGGAGAGGAGATCTACTGGTGTGAAAGTTTATGATTCAGATTTTTGCAAAGACAGATGTAAACACCGTTAGGGAGCCAACCAATTGTGAAATAATTCTGGCGTATTCTCACATTTTCCATAGGGTGCAAAACCTATCAGCTGGAATTTTTGCAAGAGAAAGAAGTCAATTGCAGCTTCCGCTCTGCAAATGCAATTTTTCTTTGAGACACAAAATCCAGCTGCAAAGCTTGGCTTAAAAGAGATCTTCCAGGCACTGAAATCCAGACACACACGCACACACACCCACAATAACATCAGTCAGCCTTTTCTGTTGCGCAAAGCTACTATTCCAAAATGCAGTTTTGATTTCTGCTAGTAAATTCTCTTTTCCTTTCACTTTTCTGAATTCCTCTTTCCCTTTTCTTTCCGTTCGGCCTGGACTCAAACACAAGCTTTCGCCATCTTTCAAATCACGCTGAGAAGTCAAAGCAGAGGAAGTTGATGACGAATGGGGGCTCAATAAGCCTGAATGTTTTCAAATTAGACATAGTGAATATATTTTTTTAGAGCGTCCGCAATCTGCACTTTTTATTTTATTTAAATTACTGCAATGGAGCCCCTCTTTTATTAATTATAATGTAACTAATAAAGTTAAGTTGCAATGAGAAGATGCTTGTGGTTTATTTCAATCCTTTATGGTAAGATGGTGAAGAAAGCCAGCAGTGTACAGCAGCTGTCAAAAAAGCCAACACAGTTCTAGGCTACATAAACAGAGGGATAGAATCAAGATCATGTTGAAGTGTTAATACCACTTTATAATGCCTTGGTAAGGCCACACTTGGAATACAGCATCCAGTTTTGGTCACGACGATGTAAAAAAATATGTGGAGACACTAGAAAGAGTGCAGAGAAGAACAACAAAGAGGATTAGGGGACTGGAGGCTAAAACATAGGAAGAACGGTTGCAGGAACTGGGTATGTCTAGTTTAATAGAAAGAAGGACTAGGGGAGACATGATAGCANTTGCAGGAACTGGGTATGTCTAGTTTAATAGAAAGAAGGACTAGGGGAGACATGATAGCAATGTTCCAATATCTCGGGGATTGCCACAAAGAAGAGGGAGTCAAACTATTCTCCGAGCACCTGAGTGTAGAACAAGAAGCAATGGGTGGAAATTAATCGAGGAGAGAAGCAACTTGGAACTGAGGAGAAATTTCCTGATAGTTAGAACAATTGATCAGTGGAACAACTAGCCTCCAGAAATTGTGAGTGCTCTTAACACTGGAAGTTTTGAAGAAGATGTTGGATAATCATTTGTCTGAAGTGGTGTTGGGTTTCCTGCCTTAGAAGGGGTTGGACTAGAAGACCTTTAAGGTCCCTTCCAATTCTGTTATTCTATTCTAAAGAGAGAAAATGGTTGTGAGATTTCCCTAGCAATTTCTCTCCAGGTTTCCAAACTCTCCAACATTTCAGTTCAAGAAAAAAGGGGTTATGTTTGTGTTAATTTGCCAGATTCCATGCATAGATAGTCCTCAATGTAGAACCATTTCAGTGGTGGGTTCCTATCAGTTCAAACTGGCAGCGGCCCAGACCTGCCATACCCCTGAACCGGTTCTACCGTAGGCGGCACCATCTTGTTTTTTTGCTTCTGCATATGCACAGAGCAATTTTAGTTGTGCTGCACATGCGCACGCAGTGCAAATCAAGCACACACGTGTGGTGAAACAGCAGTAGTCTCTGCCAGAACCCACCCCTGAATCATTTGTTTAGTTGCAACGGCATTTTTTCACACTTAACAACCATTGCAGAATTCCCACGGTCATATGATCGAATTTCTTGGCAACTAGCTTATATTTATTTATATTTATGACGGTTGCAGTGTCCCAGGGTCATGTGATCACCTTTTGTGGCCTTCTGACAAGCAAGGTCAAAGCCAGATTCCCTTAACAACCTTGTTATTAACAACTGCAGTGATTTACTTAACAGCTATGGTAACAAAGGTTGTAAAATGGGGCTAAACGTACTTAACAAACTGGCTGAGCAACATAAATTAGTTTACTTTATGGTCATTGGACCGCGTGCAACTAAATTAAATGCCATCTTCAGTGTACATTATAACTATAAAAATAAAACACAAACACACATCCTTCACATACTATACAATTGAATTGAAACCCGATATTGCATTAATATTGCACTGTACCGTAGAATTCAATATGGTTACTGCCCTGGGATAGAAGCTGTTTTTCAGCCTATTTGTCCTTGTTTTTATTATCCTGTACCGTCTGCCAGATGGTAATAGTTCAAAAAAAGAGGTGCTCAGGATGAGATGGATCTTTAGGAATGTTTTGAACTTTCTTAAGGCAGCAGGAACTATAAAGCTCTTCCAAAGAGGGGAGAGGGCAACCCATGATCCTCTGGGCAACGACGTTGAGCCTCTGTCCTATCTGCCACTG